CTCTTCACCATGGTTCAGTAGGGAGGTTCGCATCCTTCTCCGCAAGAGAAGAAAAATGTAGGATAGATTTAGGTTACTGGGGACTGATGAAACTAAATCCCAGTATAGAAATTCCGGAATACCTGTGCCTCGACCCTCCGTAAGTCTAGAAAGTTGTACGAAGATTGTTAGGGAACCCATAGAATGTCCTGAACGTTTGTATTCCTATATAAACCAAAGGACGAAGAGAAGAGGAAATATTCCTGCTCTATGAGGAGACAGCACTGCCGCACCATTAGTGGAGGACGACTTTGGTAAGGCTCAAGTGTTCTCGAACTAATTTGGTAATGTATATACCATAGAAGCACCCTTCCCATCGGTGCATACAGATCCCCCCACACATACACTGGATAGCGTGACCATTAAAGAACTCTATGTCTTTAGTCTACTAAATAAGCTTGACATAGGTAAATCCACGGGGCCAGATGAATTACATCCTAGGCTACTGAAGGAATTATCTAACTTCGTTGCAAGCCCTTTAAGTACATGCCTTAACCTATCCGTGACGCAGGGTCGTTTACCAAAAGACTGGCAAAACGTCATAGTAAGTCATGTCTTCAAAACATGTACGAAACACAAACTTGGGAATTACCGCCCCGTTAGCCTAACTAGTGTGGTTGTTAAAATCTTAGAAAAGATTATTTGAAAGGAGCTGTTTGGGTACTTCGATGAAAACTGGATCCTTTCGGAGAAGCAGCACGGTTCCAGAACAGGTTACTATTGTCTCACTAACTTATTAATGGCTCGTGAAAGCTGGTGTACTCTTAAGGACCAAAAGTTACCCGTAGCCGTAGCCTTTATTGATTTTAGCAAAGCTTTTGGCAAAGTTCCGCACAACCGGCCGTTACATAAGCTAAGAAATGTCAGGATTGGAGGCAATCTTTTGGTATGGATAAAAGACTTCTTAGTTGGGCCTCGACAAAGAGTTCGGGTGAACGCAAAGTTACCTAGCTGGGGAACTGTGCTTAGTGGAGTGCCCCAGGGTACAGTTTTGGGGCCAGTGCTATTCCTCATGTATGTAAATGACCTTCATCTCCTATCATCATCGGTCTTGCTATATGCTGACGATGTCAAGATATGGAGAACGATACAATGTAAGAGTGATAGCTTAGAACTTCAAAATGACCTGAAGAAGTTATCTGAATGGTCTCAAACATGGCAGTTGCCGATAAATACTTTCAAGTGTGTTGTGATGCATATCGGTCATCAAGGTACAGATACATACACGATGAATAACACTGAGCTACCTGTCGTCCAGACATATAATGACTTAGGAGTCATCGTTAGCCAAGACCTAAAGACTACTGCACACTGCCGTGCAATAGCCACCAAAGGCTTTAGAACCTTATGGTCAATACGTAAGGCTTTTAGTCATGTTGACGCTAAGACGTTTTTGACTTTATATACAGTGTTCGTACGTCCTAAGCTTCCGTATGAAGCTCGACTGGCCAAACTGAACCATTTCCCGTTGTCATATCGCAGAACTAGAGGAGACTTGATAACAGTTTTCAAATTGCTTAGTGATAAATTTGCCTTCATTTTTCTTGTATTCCACAACAGAGAATTTACGAGGACACTCCAAAAAGTCCACAAGCCCAGAACAAATTACTTGTTAGCTGACTATCGACTTGCCCATCGAATCATCAACTAGTGGAATTCATTACCTCAGCACGTGGTTGAGGCTCCATCCGTCGACTCTTTCAAAAGAAAGTTGGATCAACTGAGAGACCATCATTGTCAGAACTAACACAGGCCATCAAGCCTCCTGTCTTTCCAAAACTGAAACTGAAACTAACAATTGTACACTGAAAATGTCCTTGACCACATATTCGGAATTACTCACTACGCTTTTGAAAGTGGATGTCCAAGTAGTAATTATGCGACGTTCTTCTTGCTCATTAATCTCCCACACTTTATCCGAAGTCGTAATGTCTTTTTGCGAGACTATAGTTTATGGGTGGAGTAGTATGGTTTACGAACGGGCTTTTCGAACGGGAAGTTTAGTCCTAACGTGATTTGCGTTTATCAAACTTTTGCTGTGTTCTTACGCAACAAAAGTACCATTTCAGTTCTAAAGAATCTATCCTGAGCTATACGTTCGGTAGATTACTTTTTTTTTGAGTTTCACTATATTTAATAGTTACCTGTGGTTTTGCCTCAGCTTACTATTCGGTTTTTTTTTGTTTTTCACGTATAGACTAGTTTCAGTTTATATCACTCGTTTTGTCCATTTTTGTCCGTTTTCAGTGTGCTTTTTAGTGTGTTTTTAAAAAAAGGTCTTAGGCTCTTGCAAGCATCTATAACATAATTTGCTTCAACACCGTCATGAAAAACTCATGCAAACGTCCGGGATGCCGTTTTGCTGTCACAACTGGCATGCAGTGTGACAACTGCAAAGGTTGGTTCCACGAAGCATGCACAGATCTGACAGCAACTGCTTACAACAGACTCAGCAAGTCAGAGCAAAAGTGGGTGTGTGTCACGTGCAACACAGACTCCGAAGCTCAAACGACTAGGTATCAAACCACCTCTAATCGATTGGCTTACTTCATACCTAAAAAATCGACACTTTAAGGTTAGGGTTAATTTCACTTTATCTCAGGCTATGGAATGTCCTAGTGGGGTTCCCCAGGGCTCAGTACTAGGGCCTCTTCTCTTCTTGATCTACATAAATGATCTTCCTCAACAGGTAACGTCAGACTTATTACTTTTTGCCGACGACGTGAAACTTTGGAGAGAGATACGCAACCAAGACGATACACAGGCACTTCAGGAGGATCTGACGCGACTTCAAAGTTGGGCAGACGATAACGGACTTACCTTTAACATTTCAAAGTGTAAAGTAGTCCATCTGCGACATGTCGCAAACTACAGTTACAACTTAGGAAACTCCTCTCTATTAGTATCCCAAGTCGAAAAAGATTTAGGAGTCCTGGTGCCCCATGACTTAAAGTCTTACGCTAACTGTGACAAAAATGCCTTCCGAGCAAACCTTGCACTGGTAACGTTGAAGCCCATTTTTGGACAGTTTGACGGACGAACTTTCCATACAATCTTCAATAGTTTCATCCGTCCCCATTTAGAGTACGGAAACATAGTACTCCCCCCTCACTCCAAAAGGACAAGGTCACTTTGGAGCGTATCCAACGGCGAGCCACGAAATCAGTTCGAGGACTCAAATCTAAGCCTTACGAAGAACGCCTCCGTTCACTAGACCTTTACCCACTAGAATATAGGCGTCTTAGAGGTGATTTACTAATGGCTTATAGCATTCTTAACACTTCTGGACATCCTCTTAAACACCTACTTAAGCTTAGTTCGAATAATAACCTAAGGGGTAACACCCAGAAACTGGAAACACAACATAGCAAGACGGAATGTAGACACAACTTCTACTCCTTAAGAGTTGTCAAAAGCTGGAATTCGCTGCCGGCCGAGCTAGTCCAAGCGACTTCTCAGGAGTCCTTCAAGAGGCAACTTGACCTATTCTTAAGGACCAAGGACAGCATCACATTATGATTTACCAATTTCTTTTCCTTTTTTATTGTTAACATACCTAGGTTCCTGCCTGGAGGATTTGGTGATCCCCTGCTACTAGACACGGAAGCCTGTTAAGCGAAAGCTTCTATTCCGTCCACAACCATTTGAACCATTTGAACCATTTGAACGATAACAGGTCCTGAATTTCAGCTCGAAATTCTTTATCCATATGGCTAAATAGCGTCTTGTCGTTTTAGCTGATATCAGTTCGTGATAAAAACGCTAGATATGGTTTATCAACATAATTACCTGGTGCAAATCACAATCCTTAGCCTCCACACAGGTTTAAAACCTTCATTCAACATCAACCTCGAGGTTGCTGTTGATTTTTGTACTTGTTGTACCAAAAAGCATTCTCAATATATCTAAACTAAAAGCGATTTGGTTAAGGTTTGAATTTTCTGCTAAACTTTGTTCTGTGGTACCTTTTGCTACTCATTGACTGACACTCGTGTTCACATTGTGATCATGTTGTGTTTTAAACCTTTTTAAATCAAATTACAATGGTTAGCAAGACTTGTAAATGTGGACAAACAAACTGCTTGTTCCCCATTGAGGAAAGAAAGCAGTGCGATGAATGTAAAAAGTGGTGCCATTAGATGTGAACACGTCTAAGTCCTGCAGCTTACAAAAGATTCTCGAAGCCTAACTCACATTGGCTTTGTATGCTTTGCTGTACAAATAAGAAGTTACCGATCCGTTAACACTAACGACGAGTGAAGTGCAACTTGATATTGGTAATCATACACCTCTAGTGGAAATTGAAAACCCGGATAAAACTGTCACCGTTCCAAATAGTCCCGGTGCGGCTGTCCTGAGTGATGATAAATGGACTTCAATACGGAGAAAAAGAAATGAGAAGAAAAAAGCTGTACGTGGAGGGCAGCTGGTTAGCGAATCATTGGGAGAGACGGTATCAGAAACAAAGACTCCACTGTGTCAAGGCAGACTTCTCTGAGAGGTCAGTCGTTTTTCATAAGTTAAGAGAATCTTCCGATAAGGAACAAAAGGCTAGGTTTAAACACGACCTCAGTTATATTAAGTCCTAAATAAGCAATTTACTCCCAGATACAGTTTCAGGAGTTAGTAAGCTCTGAAAGTCATCAGAAAAACCGCCTCTTGAAGGTTACATTTGCCACGGTTGAAGAAAGGAAACTGATTCTAGGTAATTCACGTAAAGTGATTGGATCCGGAATATACGTCCATGAGGATCATAGCCTAGCTGATCGTACTAAGAGACAAGCTGCAGAACTGGAAATAAATGAGGGTCGCCGAAACGGTGAAGGAAACTTTGTTCGTAAGGGTTTTCAAAATGTAAAAGTTCGGAGCAGAACGATCTCCAAACCGCTCTGGGTGGTAAGGAAAAGTTCCCCACAGACTTAAAGGTATGCTACACAAATGCTCGCAGCCTACCAAATAAAATGGCAAAGTTCAGGTCAGCAGTGGATAAAGAAAAACCGGGTGTTATTGCTGTCTCAGAAACTTGGTTAACGTCAGAAGTATTAGATAATGAAATTCAGTTGACTGGTTTTTTACCCACCAGGGCTGATAGATTAAACCCTAGGGAAGGCGGGCTTATCCTGTACCCCACAATGTATGACTTAAGAAACTCTTCTTTAGATTTAGTCTTCACACACAGTGATGACGTTGGTCAAATGACTTCCCTCCTACCACTAGGGAGGAGTGACCATGCAGTCATATTATTCAAATTCATGGCTGAGATTGCCTATCAAACAGTTGCGCCGGCCCGTCCTAATGTATGGAAGGCAGATTTGGAGGCAATCAACTCCGCAGCATCGACTTAAAACTGGGAAATTGGCACAAGGGCATCAGTACAAGAGTCATGGACTCTTTTCAGGCAGTTATGCAATCGGGTAACTCAACCATACATACCCTGGACTGTCCCAAAGAAAAAGAAGCACGGACATCCCTGGATAGGGCGGGATATTCGACGCTTACTAAGACAAAAGAAGAAATGCTGGGATGTTGCCATCCGCCTTGGCACAGCAGGTACGATGGAACGCTACAGATCGATAAGAAACGAGTGTATAACTAAAATTCGGGAAGCGCAAAGAAAATATGAAATGCAGCTGGCAGAATCTGCACTCAAGCAGCCCAAGAGGATATTCTCGTACATAAACTACAGAACAAGGATTCATCATTGGATTCCCAACCTAATTAAAGTAGGGAGTGAATCTGCAATGATAGAGGAAGATCAGGCAAAAGCTGAGGTTATGGCTGACTACTTTGGGGCAGTTTTCACTCAGGAACCTCCTCTAGAGAAAGAACCGGACCCAATTACAGAGTCAACAAATCAGCTGCTCACCGTGGACTTCGACCAAAACGATGTGCTTAAGGCTCTTAGCACCCTAAACATGGAGAAGTCAACAGGACCAGATGAACTACACCCTAAAATCTTGAGACATATTGCCCAATATATCTCAGCCCCACTGATTGTGATATTCAAAATGTCACTTGACCAAGGTGTGTTACCTATGGACTGGAAGGACGCAATCGTCACTCCCATACATAAAACAGGTCTACGACAAGTTCCATCAAATTACAAACCCGTAAGCCTCACCAGTGTTGTAATTAAAATACTGGAAAGAATAATCAAACGGACCATAACAGCATTTATGGAAACCAATAACTTGCTGAACATGGCACAACATGGTTTTAGAAAGGGTCTATCCTGTACAACGAACCCCCTTATAGCTAGGGAGCTCTGGATTAATGCGCTAGACAACGGAAACTCAGTGGATGTTGTCTACATAGACTTCAGTAAGGCTTTTGACAAGGTGCCAACTAATAGACTGCTATTGAAGTTGGCAAACCTTGGTATTGCCGGACCTCTTTTAAAATGGATTAAGGATTTCCTAGTAGGTCGTAGGCAAAAAGTAAGAATAAATTCCAAGTGCTCCATCTGGAGACCAGTACTTAGTGGAGTACCCCAAGGTTCCGTCTTAGCTCCTTTACTTTTTATAATGTACGTTAATGATCTTACAAGTATAGTACAGTCTCCAATGTTATTATACGCTGACGATGTAAAAATTTGGCGAGTAATAACTGGAGACAAAGACACATTTACTCTTCAGGCGGACTTAAATAATATGATAAACTGGTCTAAAGAGTGGCTAATGCCTATCAACTCGGAAAAGTGTGTCTACATGCACTTGGGGGATTCAAAGGTTAATACGTACAACATAGGGGATGTGTCATTACCCGTAGTTCGGTCTCATAAGGACCTAGGGGTGACAGTGAGCAATGATCTTAAGACGACGGCCCATTGCCGGGAGGTCGCAACTAAGGGGTTTCGAACCCTCTGGGTTTTAAAAAGGACATTCACTAAGTTAGACACTACCATGTTCACCACAGTATACACATCCTTAGTGAGAACTAAGCTAGAGAACTGCGCTCAGGCTGCAAGCCCCTGTTTAAAAGGTGACTCGGACATACTAGAAAAAGTACAGAGGGCAGCTACCCGTGCAATTCCGGAACTCCGGGTTCATCATAAAAAGAGCGGCTTGAAAAACTGGACCTCTTTACTCTGCCCTATCGCAGACTAAGGGGAGATCTAATTTTGATGTACAGAATACTGAGAAATGATTTCGGACCTAACTTATTCTCTCTCTTTCTTCCCATTAGATCGGGACACCTTAGAGGACATAGCAGGCGAGTAGAAAAGCCAAGAACGAACAAAATACCCGTGGCATACAGGTTTTCACACCGAGTCATCAATACTTGGAACCTGTTGTCTGAAACAGTGGTGTCCGCACCTTCAATTGACTCTTTCAAGAGAAGACTGGACACTCACAGAAGCATACTAGGAAAGGAATAACATAGGCCGTAGGCCTTCTGTCCTTACCACACAAATCTGAATCTAGTCAGTTGGTGGATATTTTGAAGGACGCTTTCGAGTCACTCAAAGGTTCATAAATTATGGTCTCACCAAAATCTAGTAAGGTCACTTTAACGTCGCTAAAAGGCCGTCCATAAATTATAGTCACTGAATTTGTTTGTTCCTTCCCTTTTCTGTAGTTCTTCGTTATTCTTCCTGGACAAGCGTAAGTTTCACTGTTATGGACAGTTAGTCAACTTTTACAAGAGTTCCTAGAAGACTCTTAGTTTCTGATATGTAAGTTAACGGATCCCATTATATTGTGCATTTGTTTGAAAACAAACAAGTGCTGTCTATGTGTATAGATACTTAGAATACAGACCAATGGGATTATGTTCAAATCACGAGTATTTGTGCCTTAGCCGAACGAAATATTGTTTGCAAGCCGATCTCAATCTCCTTATTTTGGGAAGACTTTTGGGGATTTTTGGATTTTTCATAAAGTCGTAAGAAATATGTGTAATAAGATCCTGGGGAAAATCGCCTAAGTTTTGGGGAAATTTAGGGTATTCTTTAATTTAGTCAGATTGGGATACAATGCTCATCGTATTCATTCGTTTTTCCTAGAGGATCTGAAATTTGTGTCAAGCACGAGTGCTTATTGTTTTTTAAAGTTTAATGCATGTGGAAAGCCTATGTCACTACTTTTTTGTTCGTTGTTTATTAGTCTACTTCAGAAAATCGATCGTTTCGTCCGGTCATTTTCATGCCATATTCATAGCAGTTCTGACCGTTAAGTACACCCCTATATTTTGCATTTCGCATATTGGGATCTTATTTGATAGTAATAGTTATACACCACACCGTTCCCAACTTTTCCCTTGTCTAAAGTTACGTTTGTTTTTTAGGTTTTTATCTCAATTATGAAATGTTCGCCTCTCAACCAAATATTAAACCAACACATATTCCTCCCATTATGGAATGCCCACCAATGCCTCATCCAGCAATGAATGTGAATTTCACAACATTTTATTCTGGCAGTTTCGTGCAGAATAATATCTCATCTCTTGCACAGGAGAGCTTATATGAAATTCAACGACTTAGACTACTTCTGACTAATTTGCTGACTTCTATACAATCTGATGAAAAAGATCCTGAGGAAAAAAATAAGATTGTGGACGAAAACTTTGTGCTATTCAATAGAAATGGTAGTACGAAGTGTGAAAACATTCCTAGTCCTCTATTTACAACTGGAGAAGGAAAAACAAATGGGATCGTGCCTGAATGTCGCAACAACCTCCCTCAAACTCTTGGTACGAAGAATTTATCGTGTGAAAAGTTAGCATTACACAAAATAGTCAATCAAATCAGGTGAGAAAAAGACTTGGAAAATTGCCTAAACCCACTAGGTTCTGAACATGATGACGAGCGAAAACAAATCAGTACCAGGTTAACCAAAAGTCTAAGGGATGACCGTGAGCAGTGGTGGGCAACGAAAGCAAAAGAGATGGAAAATGCAGCGGTTGTAGGTAACACCATACAGCTTTTCAGAGTAATAAAAGAAACTGGAATTAAAAAGTCAAATGTGAGACTATCTCAGAAAAATACAACACTCTTATCTGCCCTCAGCCCAGACGCTTAGATCGGTGGGCGGAATACTTTAGAAAACAGTTTAGCTGGTCTTCAGCTATTCTACCAGTACCCACCATTCCCAAACAGCTTGAATGGAACATTGACGTAGGTCCCCCGACTCTAATTGAAGTTCAAAAAGCTATAGCTAATCTGAAACGAGGAAGAGAAGCTGGTCTAGGCGGGTTGGCTCCAGATGTCTTTAAGTATGGTGCGATTGAGTTGACTAATATTTTAGCTAAAATCTGGGAGTTGGACGTAATCCCATTTGACTGGTCGCAATCACTGATTGTCCCGATATACAGGAGGGATCAAAATCATACTGTAATAACCATGAAGTTAGTTTAACTAATATAGCATCTAAAATACTAGCCTTAATTGTTGTTGGACGCCTAACTAAGACTTGTGAACTGCAAATACGAGGAAATCAGGCTGAACTTAGACCTGGTTGTGGCTGAATCGACCACATATTCACCACTCTTCAGGTTCTAGAGCACAGACATGCTTATCGGCGTCCGTCAGTGATAGCTTATCTTGACTTAAAAGCAGCATTCGACTCTGTAAACTGAGAGGTTATGTTAGTGTCTGCCATTGAAAGGTGTAACTCAAAAGTACATTAACCTTGTGAAGGCTCTTTTCTCAAACACTATTAGTAGTCATCTGATTTATCAATTTCAAGAGGTATTTGACAAGGCTGTCCACTATCTCCATTTTTGTTGAGTTTCATTGTGGACATACTGATGGAAACAACGCTCTCGTCGACTGGATTTTCAGGAATTGATCTCTTTCCAGTAGGTCCACTTATCGAGTTAAGATACGCAGATGGCATAGTTTTGTTTGATAAATACTCAGTCTTTTGGTGGCATTGAGCAAAAATGCCAGGATGTTTGGGATGCGTCTCTCCCCCTCTAAATGTAAGTTGTTGCTTCAGGACTGACCTGCGTCAATACCTGGATTAAGGATAGGTAGTGAAGTCGAACACGTCGACAACTTCACTTATCTTGGAAGTCTGGTCAGCCCTAATGAGTTGGTGTCTGACAAAATTTGTGCACGTATTCAGAAAGCTCGTTTGGCTTTTACCAACTTACGTCACCTATGGCGAAAACGAGATATCCGTTTGTCAATTAAAGGACGGGTATACTGCACGCAGTTCGTTCTGTTTTACTTTACGGCTGCTAAACGTGGCCATTAGGGGTAAAAGATACTCGTAATTTCCTAGTATTTGATCACAGATGTCTTAGAGATATTGCTCGCATCTGATGGGATCACCGGGTAATTACTAGTGAGGTTAGACGCATGGTATTCGGGAATGATGTTAAATCAGTTGATAGGGTTGTA